TGAGAGCAGTGACGATGTCAGTTTATGAGTAAGCGTCTCCCAAGGTGAAGGCTTCATGTCATACAGGAAAGGGGACGGCCGAAAGCACTGGCTATGAGACTCGGGTAGGTAGGGGAACAGTTGTGACACCAATTTCGAAGCGTGATCAATTTTGGTAACCGAAGGAGCAGCATCGCATAAAGCGAGAAGTACATCCAATTCTCTAGAATCCTTCTTAAATCAGTTCTGAGTTGTTTGCGTTCAGTCACGAACAAATTCAAATCGCATACCATCGGCAACTGGGAGATCGTTCTCTTGTTGTTTCCGACACCATCTGGCGAGACATTCGAAGGACTCGATGGATGCGGACATCGTTGAGAGAGCCGCGTGAGGTTCGACAGGTCATCGCAGTCTGCTTCTGTGACGGACAAAGTTGCAAGTCTGTCCAAGGCACGGCGTCTGATGTCTGTGAAGAAGCTGATGTAAGGTCAGTGTCGCTGATCTTAAAGTCGAAAGTGGTCGATATTTCTTACCAGTCCATTGTGAGAGGTCGCCTCGAGTTGGATGTCTACTCTCTGGAAAACAGATGTCATCTAATTTGAGAGGAGCGAAAGTTTGGTGTGCAGCAGCGGCTGTTGCTTTCGACGGTTTTTACAGTCAAATAGCTACCTAGGTAGGTACCTGACATGTACCTTACCTCAAGACAATGTAGATCCAGGGGAACGATAGGGGAGTTCGATACTGGACCTACGTTAGGTACTCCGTGCCTTATCTTTGTAAAGTCGTTACCGCATGCGGAGACACATGTACGTAATTACTGTGTACCTTACATTGAAATACAGGAGTAAGAACAGGGCTCAGGGACTTAGCTCTTTAATCATCGCAAGGTATACATATGAGCATGACAGGTCGGTAAACAGCACACGCGTATGGGTAAATAGAAAGCCTGGAGGATTATTCTGATGATAACTTAGTTATTTTGCAGGACTAGATCAACTACATAGGGAGGAGGAATTGATTTGGTTCTGAAAGGCCCATTTGTAGCCTCGTATAAATCCGATGAACAAGAATTTAAAAGGTGGTCTGCTCAAACGTCAAGAACAAAGGAAGCAGAGGATCGAGCATACAATCATGATTTGCTACAATCTCAGAGTATTTATTAGGCAGGCAGTGAGGCACACGCTGCGCAACTGCCGAGGGTTTTAAAGTATCTACTCCGTACGGAGTACCGTCTGAGTTTTCGAGAATCTAAGATGCACAGGTGCCCTCTCCGTGGACCACCTATTTATGAATTCGGTCATTAAGGCATATTTAGTGGGTCGCGTTCACGTATTCCCAGGTAAGGGTACCAAGGACCAAGGTACAAAAGTACCATCCTTTCTACTAGAGGGGTACAAAACAATAGCTACTAGAATATATCTACACAGTAGATACCCGAGGTACTCTTCATGAATTGCATTTAGTCTAGCGTATCAAGGTACTATTGCCGCCTCCAAGCTAATCTGGTGTTAGGACGAGTCTCCGGGTCTAGACTTGACCGCTCAAGTTAACTGCTCTCTCCAACCCGTGATCCTCACCTTCGACCTTGACCCAAATAGTTATCAGAGCATTGTCTGAAAAATTTCTGTCTCCAATCCTCAGACATGCAGAAATGAGATAGATTCTACGCCTGCGTGACACTGTACCCGTGCATCGCCTTGGATACACGGTCGGTCAAAAGCTGGATCCGCCTATCCTTTGTCCTCGAAGGCTCCCAAGCTGCCGGTATTTGAATCAATCTGAGGGCTGTCGAGGCATGCAAATCAATGAATGATGGCACCTCAAAACGAACAGAGTTCTCTCAAACGTAGCAGGGTATGTATCTTTTGTTGCACTCTCCCTCCTTTGTTCAATGCTAAAAGCGAGTTCTTCTAGGTCAGCACAGATAGCGATTCACAAGATCTAAAGAAGCCTCGACGCTCCCAGAGAATTACATCTAAGAAGCAGTCGCAAGCGACCCCGGTCAACCAAACGTACTTACCCACCCCATTGACTGAACTAGATTCGACTGCTACGGATGTTCGGAATGAAGTCACCGCTACTCCACCGGACAGTCCTAGCCAAGCTCTATCGACTGTCGAACAACTCAAGGCGTGTTCATCTCCTCCTGGTGACACTCAAGCTCTTTCACAATTCGTTTATCCACCCAGGGCATTCGCCGATGAAGTCGAGGATGAAGCAGCAGAGGGAGTTTGGGGTTATCTGATTCCTCTTGATGACAAAGTCCGAGATGCGCTTGTGTTGAGAAAGCGCCATAGCTGCGATGCTCGCAAGAATGGTGACTTAAAGACTCAGCCGAGCAAAGAATCCCAGCACTCTCAAGACAAGAGTCCAATCAGCAGACAAAGACCTAATCGACCTCCTGGGGGTTATCTGGTCGGTCGTCATCCAGAGTGCGGTGGGTGTTTACAGTCGGCTACTGCTCCTTTCCTGGAAATTCTAACGGCATCCAGACCTGGTTATCAATATTCCCACAATATCCAATCGGCATTTCTTAATATTCAGCGAAAACAAGAACGGCGATTCTGTCGCAATTGTGGAAGATTTGTCCAGCAATGGCACCTTTGTAAATGATGCCATTATCGGGCGGAACAAGTATCGCGAGCTTGAAGATGGCGATGAAATCACCATCCTGGATGAAGCGCGATTCGTTTTTAGATACCCCCGGACGAGAGACACGAACGGTTTCCGTCAGCAGTATCGGTTGCTTCAGCAGCTCGGAAAAGGTCATTTTGCAACCGTTTACTTATGTGTAGAACGTGCGACTGGCACTCAATATGCCGTTAAAGTGTTTGAGAGGCGTCCTGGCGATTCTCAGAAGTCTCAGACCGAGTCCTTGCAGCAAGAGATTGGCCTCTTAATGGGGGTCAATCACCCGAATCTTTTGTGCTTGAAGGACACCTTCGACGAAGCTGATGGCGTTTATCTCGTCCTCGAGCTTGCACCTGAGGGCGAGCTCTTTAATCTGATTGTCAGCAGACAAAAATTTTCCGAAGAAGAAACCCGCCATATCTTCGTTCAGCTCTTTGAGGGTCTGAAATACCTGGTAAGCTCCTTGTTCATTAGATTGCAATCTACGCTACCAGTCAACCATCCAATTTGTAGATGGGAGGCAAAACCCCCGGCGGAAAAGAAGTCTTGAACTGATTCAAACACAGCATGATCGTGGCATCGTTCATCGAGATATTAAACCCGAGAATATACTTGTAGCAGACAAGAAGCTGACTGTGAAACTTGGTGACTTTGGACTTGCCAAGATCATCGGTGAAGATTCATTCACCACAACTCTGTATGTGCTGCCTTCTCTTTCTTCAGATCGCTTTTCTCCTTTGCCTTAGCTGATCCTTTTGTTCACAGATGTGGGACACCAAGTTGTAAGTTGACTTCCGGCCAGTTGGGCATTCGTCAGTTCTGATTTTCTTTAGATGTCGCTCCAGAGATCCTACAGGAGTCTCGTCGTCGAAGATACACCAAGGCCGTGGACATCTGGTCATTGGGAGTCGTTCTATACATATGCCTTTGCGGATTTCCGCCTTTCTCAGATGAGCTTTACACGCGTGAAAACCCCTTCACATTGGCACAGCAGATCAAAATGGGCCGATTTGATTATCCATCACCGTATTGGGATTCTGTGGGCGACCCAGCTTTGGACCTGATAGACAGGATGCTTACAGTCGATGTTGAGAAGAGAATCACGGTGGATGAATGTCTGGAACATCCTTGGCTTACCGGGAAACACATGAGCGTTTCCGATAGCACAGAGGGGTTGACAGGTGCGCTGGGAAAGCTCGACTTCTCAAAACGCAAAGTCGAGCGCGAGCGGACATTGCTCAGCAGTATCAATGATGCTCATTTCAGCGAACACAACGAAGGACCTGGTGCTCCTGTGAAGGTCTTCTACAAGAATAATGCTGGCAAGCGCATGCACAACCAGCCAGCCCATACTATCCAGCAAAATGAGGCCCCGCCCGATGAGAATAGCGCTCCCAAAGATTTCGTCAATCTTGGAGAGCGCGGTGACCCGGTGTTGTTTGAGGAAGACCCAACAACTCATTATAAGTGATTGGTGGCCATCTCTATCCTTATCTAAATCACAGCATTGTTAACGTTGGGATGTTGCAAAGGAATGGTCCAGTTCAGCCCGCCTGACGGTCAAGAGCCCTTTAAACCTCAAGTACTAGAATATGATATCAAAAGCGCCACACAATGACCAGTATTAATATGCTTATTTAAGTTGTACCAGTCCTGTATCCGCCTGTCAGTTGATGCTAAACCATGCCCCCCCTCCCCCCCCGAACAGAAGGAGATTGGACAATGACTGCTGTACAGCATCATGAGCCCTGCCTACTTTATTAACTGACTGAAGCTGAAGTCAGTAGATTACCTGTGACCGCCAGGCGATAGCGTTGCATTCTCGTCTATTCCAGCAAAGCTAAACTAAAGACGAATGTAGAATACGTTGTAGTCACGATTCTCACCTCTCCCTCTTTTGTGCCTTTCAGTATGCTTGGATCCTTGGCAATACACGGTACTAAGTAACATCCAACCATGAGATGTCATTGTTTTAGACACCCGGCTCCGTTGAAGTGGCGTGATTATTTAAGGAACCTTACCATAGGTTGCTTTGCCAAATCGGATTAGTCTAGCGTAACTAGGGCCAGTTAGTCCAGGGGTTTAACGACTCATGCTTAGATAGTGCGTGAATAAGAATAAGAAGGGATCCATGGGCGGTGACTGGATACTTGCCCAGAAAAAAACAAGCCAACCAGTAGATGCCTATCCTTTTTCTTCCCATCTTCATTTCATCTTCCCCAATTCCTGTACTCTCTGTTCGTTTGTGGATTCGTGCGTTCTTGAGGCCTCCCAAAATTCGTCCATTTCTCTTCAAGGATTAGGAGGGTGCCTCTAGGCGAGACACTCAGCCTTCCTTTATTCGCTGCGACAGTTACTTGGTTGATCGATTTGAACACTGTGCTGCAGCGATGGGTCTTATCGCGTTCATTCTCGACGGCATCTGCAAGCATTGCTCGACGCAGTCAACATGGGTGCTTGTGGGAGTCGGACTACTGTCCATCCTCGCTGTATCTGTCATTGCCAATGTGCTGCAGCAGCTACTGTTCAAAAATCCTCACGAGCCTCCTGTGGTCTTCCACTGGTTCCCCTTTATTGGTAGCACCATCAGTTATGGCATTGATCCGTACAAGTTCTTTTTCGACTGCCGCGCAAAGGTTTGGATTGTCGCAGCCAAATTATGTGTCTAGCTAACTTTTTTTTGCCCGGCAGTATGGCGATATCTTCACATTCATTCTACTTGGCAAGAAGACAACGGTGTATCTTGGTACGAAGGGCAATGACTTCATTCTAAACGGCAAGCTGCGAGATGTTTGCGCTGAGGAGGTGTATTCACCACTCACTACGCCTGTTTTTGGTCGACATGTCGTGTATGACTGCCCTAATGCTAAGCTTATGGAGCAGAAGAAGGTAAGCGACTTTGGCAAAAGCACACCTGGATTCAGCGACTAATAATCCTAGTTCGTCAAATACGGTCTCACCTCTGATGCGCTCCGATCTTATGTTCCCCTAATTACGGATGAAGTAGAGAGCTTTGTCAAAAATTCTCCGGCCTTCCAGGGACACAAGGGCGTCTTCGATGTATGCAAAACAATCGCTGAAATCACCATTTACACTGCTTCGCGCTCGCTTCAAGGGAAAGAAGTTCGAAGCAAATTTGATTCCACATTCGCAGAGTTGTACCATAACCTTGACATGGGCTTCGCTCCTATCAACTTCATGTTACCCTGGGCCCCCCTGCCCCACAACCGCAAAAGGGATGCTGCGCAGCGTAAATTGACCGAAACTTATATGGAAATCATCAAAGCACGCCGTCAGACTGGCAGTAAGAAGGATTCTGAAGACATGGTCTGGAACCTCATGTCCTGCGTTTACAAGAACGGCACACCGGTTCCCGATGAGGAAATCGCTCATATGATGATTGCTTTGTTGATGGCGGGTCAGCATTCTTCCTCTTCTACTGCTTCCTGGATTGTTCTGCGCCTTGCGACGCGGCCTGATATAATGGAAGAGCTATATCAGGAACAAATTCGTGTTCTCGGATCCGATTTGCCTCCACTCACGTTTGACAATTTGCAGAAGCTGGATTTGCACGCGAAGGTCATCAAGGAGACTCTACGCTTGCATGCACCGATTCACTCGATCATTCGAGCCGTGAAGAATCCCATGGCTGTGGATGGTACTTCATATGTGATCCCGACATCTCATAATGTTCTCTCTTCTCCAGGCGTCACTGCCAGGTCTGAGGAGCACTTCCCAAATCCACTCGAATGGGACCCTCACCGTTGGGATGAGGACATTGCAGCTAGCGCTGAGGACGATGAGAAAGTTGATTATGGCTACGGGTTAGTTAACAAGGGCACCAATAGCCCGTACCTCCCGTTTGGCGCTGGACGGCATAGGTGCATTGGCGAGCAATTTGCATATCTTCAGCTTGGCACAATCACCGCTGTACTTGTGCGGTTATTCAAATTCCGTAATTTGCCAGGAGTCGATGGCGTCCCCGACACAGATTACTCTGTGAGTTATCCTTGTCCAAGTCAACTTCGAATCCTTCTTACTAATACTACCAGTCTCTGTTCTCCAAACCGCTGGGCCGATCTTTTGTGGAGTTTGAAAAGCGCGAGTCCGCTACCAAAGCCTGATCGTGATCACTCGATCAATGCCTCTTCTTGATATGATTGCATGGAAGGTAATTTCATTATCACTTCTGGGTATTCTGCCATCTTGTTTGGCAGTTCGCGGTTCCAGAACTTGTACAGCATTTAATCTCTGGATGTTCAACTTTGAAGTTCTATACTGTATTGATTTCATACCTTAGCATATTATGAGGAATAGATAATGTTTTTATAAGTCACTAAGACCGATGATCCACTTAAATCAAAATCACGCCCGTAGCCCTGCCTTACACATTGTAAAGCCCTATGGTAGAAAAGAAACTGGTCGTAGGGCACATTGTTGTGATTGAAGCGGGAATAATACAGGGCATGATGGTGAGAGTAATATACAAATATGTAAACTGCGTCTGAGACATCGCAGATTCAACATAAAATGGAAGATAGCTTATGCAGTGCCCTTCCTCCGTTCCTCGCTCCTCTTTTTGGCGCGGACCTCAGCGCGTCTCCTCTCACCACCGTCAACTTTGTGTCCCAGCCTATCCTCCCACATACCTTCCTGGACCTTGATCAGAGCGGCGCTGCCGTTTGTTCCCTTGATTGGTTGCAGGAACGGTCCCCTAATCAAAGAGCCACGGTGTATTTTCATATGCGCATATTTCTTGAGGGGTCTGGAGGGCTCATGCTCATAACTGGTAGCATCTGGCGGGAGATTTACAATCATTCGCTTCATACCGGGTGACAAGTTGGCCGAGGAATCCTGAGGGCTCGACTCTCGCTCACCTCCGGTTGTCTGGGTACCAGGCACAGGCACTGCGACTACTCGCAATTGGGCGGCTCCATCGACGACATGCTCCAAATCACCACCAGGACCGTATATACCCTGCCTGAACTTTTCTCGTTTGCGAAGTAAATATCGTCGTTGGCGCGCAGGCTCGATGCCCACTTCACGGAGTTCAGTGGAGTTGAGGGTGAAAAGCTTGTCCCAAGAAGACAGTTTGCTGGCGTGCTTTTTCATATCACGACCGATCAAGGTAAGGAAGGTCTGGACGTCGGGAACGAATGGCGTCGGGGAAGGAACAGAGGGCGTGGCAGCATTCTTGTGGAAGCAGCGAGTGCATTGGATGGTGAGAGTAAATGGTCTGATAAGTCTCGAAGACAAAGTACCCAGATATGAACTGCACAGCTTCATGGTAGGCGAGCTCAAGACATTAAATGCCTATACTGGCACAATTGGAGACAACTTATTGTTGAGAACGGTTTTGGAAGGGTTTGAAAAGGGACACTGCCCTCAGATAATTCTTTTTCTTTGCTGATTCTCTTGGCATCTGGAAATTTAGGGATCCCCAACTTGTACAAAGTGATCGTCGGGATCAATAATAGTCCGAATTCACAACTATCTATGGCGTCTTGGTACTCCATCTCTTCTATCAATGTATCCTTTAGAGGATTTAGTCAAACGATTTTCTTATGAATACAACTCGGCTTCTCATTTATAGGCTTTGTATTGCGTTCAAAGTCTTGATGTCCTAGGTTCGAAGCCATCTCTCTTCACAATTCGTTTGTGAAGACTACGGGATCAAACCAGAAGAGATTCGAGCGATGGCACTTTCACCTTCAATTTCCCAGTCACCGTCAGCCACTGCGTCATCTTCGAGTGCAGCAACTAAATTGCGGGCTGTTTCTACCCGAAAATCAGTCAATGAAGAGGGAGGTGCACCTACATTACAATCAGATATTGACCGTGAACTCACAGAGCTCTTAAATGAAGACATTCAGCACAAGTATGTCAAGGGTACGGTGCCAGTTTCTCGATCCTTTTTCCCATTTCCTTTTTCGGCTTTTCATTAACATATAATACATAGACAAGAAGCTTGGTGAGGGTACCTATGCCGTGGTATATCTTGGGCATCTTCGCAACGACCCCTCGTCATTTGTGGCGATCAAGAAAATCAAAGTCAATACTGAGTACAAGGACGGTCTTCCTATGGATGCCATTCGCGAAGTGAAATATCTACAAGAGTTATCGCATCCTAATATAATAGCTCTGCACGATGTATTCTCGTCTAAAGACCAGAATCTCAATCTGGTTTTGGAATATTTACCACGTGGCGATCTGGAGATGCTCATTAAGGATGAAAATATCCACTACGGTGTTGCAGATGTCAAGGCTTGGATGGGAATGCTTGCTAGAGGTGTTTGGTTCTGCCACGAAAACTTTGTGCTACATCGAGACATCAAACCCAACAACCTCCTCATTGCCAGTGATGGTGAGGTCAAGCTGGCCGATTTCGGCTTGGCTAGATCATTTGCAGATCCTTATTTAAATATGACACATCAGGTCATAACTCGTTGGTATCGCCCGCCCGAACTGCTTTATGGTGCCCGGCAGTACTCTGGGGCCGTTGATGTATGGTCCATGGGGATGGTATTTGCTGAACTCCTCCTGAGAGTCCCGTTTGTTGCCGGAAATTCGGACATTGATCAAATCTCGAAAATATGTGAAGCATTCGGCACGCCTTCCGAAGAGAATTGGCCGGGAGTCAGTACGTTGCCCAACTATATCCCCTTGGATAGGCAAAGCACTGTTCCACTACAGGGTCGTGATTTCTTCTTACGGCAATTCCCCACGGCAGGTCCAGTGGGTGCAGATCTACTTATGTCGATGTGCACGTTGGACCCAAGGAAGCGGAGCACGGCTTACCAAATTCTACAGCACGGCTGGTGGTCGACCGAGCCAAGGCCGACGGCTAAGGAGGATCTTCCTCGTAAATCGGGTGGGAGTAAGAAAATGGGTGACGATCTCTCAAGACGCGGTGGCGAGGTGGACGACGGTCCATTCAAGAATGCCGCTCGACAGCTAGATTTCATGGCAGTCAGGCGTTAATTATAGTGGACTCTATATCTGATGCTCAAATTCCAAATTGACACCGTACCCGCCCTCTCATGCTCTCATTCCAGAGCCATGTCTACATCTTGGCGACCTTTATCTCTCATTCACTGTTAGACCGCCCCCTCCCCCCCCCCCCCCCCCCCCGGTTTTGATGCGTTTGACTTTGGGAGAACATCACCACTGTGCCAGAGCCAATATGCAGATCATGGTTTCTGCCCTCCTTGGAAGACCTTTTGACAGTTAAAGACGGTTGAGCCGCTACAGTCTTTCAATAAAAGGATCTCCCTACCTTGTGCACGATAGATCTCAAATACGTCGAACTTGATGTCGCACCGGAGCTCATCTTCGAGACATTCCTCGTGGCTGTTGAAGTACTCCAGGATGGTGAGAGACACTCGCCGTCCTTGAAGTGCGATAGGTTCAGGGTACGCCCTACCTTTCACATCCCTGATGGCGCTCTCAATCGGCTTGATGTTCTGGTCGTATCGTTTTCAATCCAAGTCCTAGCAGACTCAAGTAACAGTCGGTACGCATTGACTTGATACGATATATTGGAAACAGGTATTTGACCCCTTGTGGATACTTTGAGAGTGATACATTTCTCCCAATTTTCCAGACGGGTAATTGATCCTTTAACATGGATTGTTTGGTGTTTCTCGCAGAACCTTGTGGTGTTGTATTCATGGATGTAGAGCGTAATGCTGCATCTAGCTGTTCAAGCCTTCAGTCGGAGAGTATGGACTTTTCTGAATGGTATGGAGCCAATGATATTGACTATCTCTTTTCAAGGCCCCGAGAGTAGACTGGCTACAAGAACGAATCAAATGAACTTTACTGCAACTTTCTATGATGCGGATTGATATGTCACGTTTAGTGTTAGTCGCCTATATTGCGTCGAATAGGTAACTAACGATATCAGCTTGCATAGCGTAGAGGGCCTTGCGTCGTGGAAATGAGTTGTTAGGTCATCCAATCTTAGCATAGATAGTCAGCACTGGATGACTTCCACATAGGCATTGATTTTTACCATAAGACAGATATTTCTATTGATGTACCTTTTTGTATGTTTGTTTATGTCTCCAAGTATTTATATGTAGGTGCTGGTAGGGCTAAGGCAGGTATCGGATACTCAAGGTGCCCATACGCTCATTACATAAATACTCAGTAGCACTAGCAACACTATCAACCAAATTTGAGCCTGGAAAAAATGACACGGGAATTAGGACATAAAAAAATATATGCGTATCTGAATGATCTTTTCCCCGTGTACGTAGGTCATCGTACTGTAAGGTACCTTAGCTTCAACCCTTGGAAGGTCACTACGTACTCTACAAAAATTAAGCTAACTGGTTATATCTTAGTATGGGGTTGCCTGCCTAGGAGGGAACCTACCTTAAGGTAAGGTGGGTAGGTTCCTTAGTATCTAGACTTACTCGTAGAGATGTTCCTGAGTACGCAAAATACGGTCGTACCTACCTTTACCCCTGGCGGACTGGTACAACCCATCTTTATCTAGTGCTTATCAGGTACCGTACCTTAACCTAACTAAGGTACATTTAATAATCTAAGCAATATCCACCCGAGGTACCCCTCAACTTCAGGTACCATATTTTGATGTGTTTACTCTGTGATGGTTTGTTTTGGCTCTAATCAGGATGCTGACCACTTTACCGTAAAGACCGTTGAATAGGTGGTCTATAACAGTATCACTATGAAGCACTCACGCATATTGAGAGCAACTTCAGGTCTTGGACATCTCAACAAAAAATTCTTCGCCATCCTTTATAGGGATAAAACAAGTACCGAGTACCAAGTACGGAGTACTCATCAAAGAAAGTCGCCAACACAATAATCACCTTCTGTAATAATACAGACAGTATTATAAGCAGAATGATTCATGTATTGCGTGCTAATCCATGGAGTAGAAGTATAACCATTGTAGCTTCATTGTAGATTAGCACTCAATACCAGCTTGTAATTCAAAGCTAAACACGACTTTGAACTATTCATATCGTTGATAGGTACCTTAGGAGTTGGCAAAACTGACTTCTCCCTGTCCTGCCTTAGACAATATGGAAGGGGAGATTCAATCCCGCTCTCCCTTTACTCCGTCCGTATCTACCAGACTAGACGCGACTAACAAAATCGAGCTAAAAGGATGGAGGACGACGGCCCTGACCATCTTCAGTCCAACACCTGGCTCTTCTACGCTTATTTACAGTGCTATTCATCCTAGTCGTCGTCTCTGCCTGTATATTCTCTCGTGCTCGCTCATCAATCTTACACGAGATCGTTTCTCATCTGTCTCCATCGATAATACCCAGAAACGCTCCGAGAAAGGCGCTCCGAGTAGTTGCTTGGAGTGAGTCAACTGAAAACTTAACAACATCGAAGAGCCCTATAGGCCCCATTGTTTGGTTCTGGCTGCTGAAGGCTTCAGATTCACCCGCTATTGAATGCCCCAGCAAGGTCCAGATCCTGTATCCTCTCAAGTACTCGAGGTGGCTTACAGGCCTACATCGCTAAATAGGAGACAGTCGTCATATTACTGTAAGTACTCTGGCTTGAGTTTGTATCTATCGAGTCTATATTTCTCCCTCTATCTATCCATTTCTTCTCTGTTCCTCCCACATGGCCTTCTACGAACAGTGTCGGTACCAGTGGGGCTTGTCTTGCTTTGATCTAGTATGAAAAATGCATGTTCGCATTTCTGATCAATTCATCCGGGGCATAAACCGGGCCCTTCCTGTTGTGTCGCCATAATGATGCTCCATATATCTATCCGATCTCCTATCTGACTTTTGCCAGCTTATCTGATAGCCTGGTTTCGTCGCGCCGTCATATCGGCTTCGCAAGCTCGCGCACCTTCATTTTCCCCCCATGACCATGCCACTTCTAATCTGAGCTCCTTCTGAAGTTGGTCCATTTATCACGACAGGGCAACGAACAAACACGAAAGACCTCAAACTATATAAGCGCTCTATGTCCACCATACCAGAACTGTCCCGACCGGCCGCGAGTCCTCCGGCTGGTACGCTGCCGCCATTGCCAGCACCGAAAGTCAGAAAGAGCTTGCCCCTATCAACCGACATACAGAGGGCGTCATCTCCATCACATTCAACTTCCAAATTGCGCACGCCCTCCAGCCCTAGATCAAATTTTAACAGGTCCCCATTATCAAGTTCAATCTCTAACCAAGGCAGTTTGAGGTCTGCGTCGGGAGGTCGGAGTCCGGCCAGTCCTGAGAAGTCGCTTCGCAGGACGATAAGCATTGCGGCCTTTCCCCAGCCTCCAAAAGTCAATGGCCGTTCTTCTGTGGCTTCCGCAATCTCGGGATCTAATAATATTCCGCTTGGCAGCGCGAGAGTCAAGAGTGGTTCGAGGTTAAGTTCAGGGACTACCAGCAGTTATCGAAGTTCAAGGCCACCTTCCCTATTAAACGGACATGGGGACGGCAGAAATGGCCCTGTCTTAGACTCACGAGAACAAGAAGCCTCCCCTACACAGAGCAGAAGCTCGTCAGCCCAAGGATCGTACTCAACAAGTGCGACCACGTGTGAAGATCCGGATGATGCTACAGGGATCGCCAAGTCAAATTCGAGAACCAAGCAAGTGAAAGGAAATGTGATCGTCAGCGTCCGTGTACGTCCCAATCTGACCGGGACAGATGGTTCGGCTTCTGACGGCGATTGGGTTGTTGACGGTCGGCGCGGCCTAATCTCCTATAAAGGAAAGGAAGGCGGAGCCGACTATTTATATGGTGCGCACCTAGATCAAGACCTTTCTAACGATTCGCATGACTGATTGATCAATCTACTTCTACAACAGACAATGTCTTTCAGCCGCACGAGCACAATGCCAAAGTCTACGACGCCGCGGCCAAGCGCCTTGTGAGAAGGGTCATGGAAGGATATCACGGAACAGTCTTTGCTTATGGCATGACCGGGACTGGCAAAACCTTCTCTATGCAAGGGACCGCGACTTCTCCCGGTGTGATACCATTAGCAATAACGGATATCTTCTCTTTCATCAGAGAGACACCTCACCGGGAATTTCTGCTTCGCGTCAGCTATCTGGAGATCTACAACGAAAAGATTCATGACCTCCTGTCGACGTCGGGCTCTACTGGGCTTGCGAATTCTCAGCAGGAGGAGATCAAACTCCGCGAAGACAGCAAACGAGGTGTGTATGCAACTCCGTTAAAGGAAGAGATTGTGCAGAGCCCTACCCAACTCCTACGTGTAATTGCCAGAGGCGATCTTGCACGGAGAACGGGCAGCACGCAGTTCAATGCTCGTAGTTCTAGAAGTCATGCGGTCGTCCAGATTGTTGTGGAGAGCAGAGAACGAGCACCAACGAGCAACCCATCCCAAGAACGGCGCTCCGGCATGGCCCCAGGGGGAGTCAGGGTGTCGACCCTTAGCTTGATCGATTTGGCTGGGTCTGAGCGCGCTGCAGAGGATAAAGAGCGTCGGACGGAAGGTGCTCATATAAATAAAAGCTTACTCACATTGGGCACGATCATCGCAAAGCTCTCGGAGAACAAGGATAAGGGCGGAACCTCAGCTGATCGCGAGGGCAGACATCTTCCGTATCGTGACAGCAAGCTTACACGGCTGCTACAACCGGCTCTCTCAGGGAACTCTCTTGTCAGCATCCTCTGTACAATCCAGATTGATGGGTCTGGCAGCTCAGCAACAACGGGTTCACTTTCAACTGAGACTCTAAATACGCTGAAATTCGCCGCCCGTGCCAAGAACAGCATCGTCAGTCACGCTAAGAGGGCAGAGGAAGCCTTTGGCAGTGGCGGGGGCGATGCGGGCAGCCGAGTTCTTCTGGAGCGCTACCGCATGGAGATTCAAACACTACGCAGTCAGCTTGAAAGTCAGGCAAAGGATCAAGCTGAGAAGGAGTTAAAACTGGAAGAGCAACAACTGGAGAAAGAGGCAAAAGTGCGCCACGAGGAGCAAATGCTTGAAATGCAATTAGCTCGAACAGCGCTGAAGGAACGTATTGAACATCTCAATCGTCTGATCCTCTGCTCTAAATCAACTGGAGTCAATAGTCATAACGGTATAGCCGCCTTCGGGCGGCTTTCTAGGATGTCTACTACCGACTCCATTTCTCGGTCTCTGCGGTCGTCTGTGAGTCAGTCAACATTGGGTGCATGCGGATTTTCATCGGTACGGCCTGTTTCCTTCCTGTCCACCAACAGCACTGAAGTGTCGGCGAATTTGCCGTATCGAAATGCGCCCCTTGAACACGAAGAGGACGAAATTATGGGGGAGCTTGCAGACGGAAGAGCAAGCGCCCAGAGACAGATTGCTGCTCTACAAGCTGATCTTAACGATAAGAATCGATATATCTCAACGCTGGAGAGACGCCTATTGCAAGCCCGACGCTCAAGTCACTCTCGAATATCTATGGGTGTGAAGTCAGTAAATGCTCCCTCAGAAGAGCCGGACTTCAAGGCTCTGATCCGTGAGAAAGATATGGAAATCAACGAACTCCGCTTGCAGCTGGATGATAAGGATCGGATGCTTGCGGCACTTCGGTCTGCCGCACGACACTGGGATCTCGCACATGTTACAACAGACCCATGCGCTGCGGACCCCAAAATCAAGCGTGCGTCTTTGAATAGTAATGGCGGTGTTATGCCATCATATGGTCGTGCAGCTGGTTCCCTTTCGTCGCCCGAATCTGATGATAAAGGACCAGATGGAAAGAGCATGGACGAAGTCTCGCGCATACTCGATGAAATGATACAGGATAGAGTGCAGAGCGGTCATTTAGTGAAGGGATCTCGCGGAAGTGTTCGTGTTGCTGATGAAAAGCAACGAGCGCTTGAACCGGCGGCAGGTATCCCTGCGTTAAACACAGCTAGCACAGTTTCAGAAGATGGGACAAATGTCATGTGAATGAGTGAGATTCAGTGGCTCGAGTCCCAAGTCGTCCTTCTGTCCCAACTGGTATCCCCTTGCCTCCGCCCAAATCCCATATCTCCCGCTATCCACAATCTCCCCCGAATATTCCGAGTTACCTTCATACTGAGTCCGTTCCTCCCCATTTGTTTGTGGTCATGACTACTGGTGTGAGCTGCCAGTTTTGGCCTTATGCCTTGGTGTTTCAAAGGTGGTCTTGATGGAATCAGGAGGCTACCATCTGCTGGTGAGTGTAGTCATGATTTCGCTGCATATTTAGATACCCATGCATGATCTTTTCCTTGAACCCGACTTAATGAGATAGTCATGTTTAAATTAAATCAACTAATCCAGCTTCGCTTTGCATGTTAAAGCAGGATTCGGACCTCCTTTTTTAATTTAAGAGCATAAATGTAACCAAAGAGCATGCATGGTGTATGGAGAAGATCTGTTGGAGTGGATGGTAGAATGTGGAGATCAGTCCTGATATAGGATTATTGGCCGTCATTCAAACACTTCATTCATCAGAGGTAACCAGGCATCTCAGCATGAGGATTGTCTCTGAATCATAACATAGGTAGAGAATTTCTATCGATTTCGTTCTAGCGTTTCTGGACATGAAAACCTCCAGAGCACCACCCACCTTACTTTGGGATTGGAATTACCTGCGGCAATGGAGACACTGGATTGCCAGCAGGAACAATGTTGCTATGAGGGATTCCTCCGACCGAATTGATAGGAAGCATCCATTATCCAGGTGTTATCCCAGACGAAGTTCGTAGGCATACATACACCACGACATGTCCTCAAGATGCCCGAAGCTGATTCCTGACCTAAAGTGTCAAGTCATTAGGTCGAAGGTAATCGATCGATAGCCTCAACCCATATTACCTCACAGGCCTCTTCCTGGGGATCACTTCGAGGATGCCCGCTTGTGGTTGAGATTTGATCACGCGGAATATTATTCAGGCTTGCCCGGAAGCTCTCTCTCTCTTTTTTTTTAAAAAAAAAAACCTAATTCTTTGGCCCTTGTTCTATTACAAGAGGAGTGCATCAAAAGATGTAATCGAGGCCGTTTCACGCAACTATCTCAATTTCAGAGATTCGGTCCTTCGCAAAGACATCTTTGTATTGCTCCCACAACCGTCGAAGCTCTTGTATATACTTGGCATGAAGGCCATCAATGTACGTTTCGTCGATCTTATCTCTGTCACGCTGTTGAACGACTTGAATAGGCCTGCCAACGACAATATTCAATGGACGTCGATAAGGCATCAGTCCCACGTCGTAATTGAAAACCCCACGAGCATGAAAGAGCGGGATCGTGAACCCCATCGTACGCTTAATGAGCATTTGAAGCTTGTGTATAATGGGATGCTGATCTGATCGCACCTGCTCATAGAGATCGTTTTCGCCGAAAGCAAGTACTGGCACAAGATCAGCACCGGTGCGAATTGCTAGCTTTATGAATCCTTTGCGGCACTTTAAAACAAGGCGCAGAGAGTGAGGTAAAGCGTCCAGGGATTCGCGAGCCCCACCAATGACAATTGTAATCGCGCGGCCCATGCCTTCCCCGTCAGCACCACCTTTAGACAGTAGGTTTTCACAAGACTCCCGGGAAACACTGGCGAGTCCCATGGCAAGAGCATATTCTCTGTAGAACGGAATTCGAAAATTCGAATCAAGGGTAAGTAAGGTGTTTGTGATTCCCGGAAACAACCTCGAAAATCCGAGCGCTTCAGTAGCAAATGCTGCAAATGCACCGTGAGAAATTATGCCATGTGGGTGGTAGCCGAATATATATTTGCGTGTTGGAAGTAGCGCTTCAGAGCGATGCAAGCAAGCAGGAAAATAAGAGGCATAAAGTGACCATATCGGGAGCGAACGCATGAAATTGCTACGCCCACTCAACGTTCCAGACGTTGCAGACGATGAAAAAAGTGAAATATAAACTAGGTAGGGGAATAACAGCGGCCAGAATACAGGTAGGGCACAAGCGAAGAAGAAAAATGTTAAGAATATCGCGATTGTCAAAGTGTGGCATAAGACCACGAACGTCTGCATGCGTCTTTCGAGACCAATATTCAAGGGAGCCCAACGAATGCCCCTAAATGTTATCAGCCATCATTTTCAGAAACCCTCGGTTCTACATATACACCAGAACTTACCGACTCCTGGCTGCATGCCTTCGCGGTTCTGAACAGCCTGGCCCTGACTGAGAATGATCGTGCGAGGATAGTATCGCTGGGTTGTCAATCCGTTTTATCGGAGAATAGAAATCCGCATCAGATAATTCGGTGTTGTTTGCTACAAAATCCCGGGATTCACTACCACTTTGCACATGATTCACGCACGAGGTATTCTGCTCGGCCTGGGTCGCCGGGTTCAAACTGACTTTTCCCGAAGATGAGGACTGAATCACCGACTCAGGCTGCTGTCGCAAGCTTCCTGCTTGTAGATTTTCTTGGCCTGACATTATTGATCAAGAATAAGTGGAAACAACCCACAAAGTGCAAAAGATAGGCAGGAATCTACTCTGTAGTACTCCGTAGACTGACCGGCTCGATGGCGGGAACCTTCAGCAAGGGTATTTCTGCCGCCCTAATCTCAAGTCCCAGCTGAGCCGGAAATCTGGTATCGATTTGTATTCCACTTCGGCAAATGCACTGTCGATTCCTTTCCTAAGATGATCAAGAATCGATCACTCTGCAGAGTGGCAGATCATTTGGAACTTCGATCTAACCCAGGTCGCCGTGCGCAGTGGGATCCCGTATGAGTGGTATGACGTTTGAAGGCGGATCAGTTCTGCATGAAGAGTATTGACTATTGAGCGGGTGTACTCTGTGTTTATAATAGTAAGTTCATATTAATTTAGTACTTTGCTGATAGTACCTTGAGGACTTGGAAGTTGAGAGCGTAAGGTTAGGGTACCTGCCAACCAATTAATTTACTCTATAGACACACTCCTATGTACTTAGTTGGGGAAAGTGGGGATCAAGAATGGCCATCTCTGAATCTACCAGGTATCAACCCGACGGTCAGACTCCTTTCAAAATTCGAACGTTAAAACATTAATAATACCATCTTTGCTACTATCCTGCTTGAATGGCGCACTTATGTTTCTTTCAGCGAAGTGAATTGCGAATAAGTCTTTCGAGGCATCGGGCTCCGATTATACGTCTGAATACCTCAAGAATGTCTAGGAAATCAACACCTTTCATAGCCTCGGCTTGGACATCAAGAAACGATCTACTCCGTAGAAGGCACATGATGATTGTGCCCAAGACCGGACGCAAGCCAATTATGTAATACCATCAGTCTATCAGATCATTGCTGATTCGCGATCTGTAAGTTACTATGGGGAATACAAGATAGTAACAATATTCTTTTAAGATGTAGACATGATTCTTTGAGCACGGGTGACTAGGTAGGTTGACATGGGCCAATGGGCGAATATTTATTATTACGTTTTGATCATGAATATCTGTGCCAGTTAGCCTTTGTTTAACAAGGAAAAGGATTGCTAATGGGAAAGGATAATAAATACCTCATTGAGAGATTTATCGTCCATGAGGGCTCTCTTCTTTTGTTCAATATGGCGGCTTCGAAAGATCCGTCTTCCCATAGGTTGACGTTCCCTCGATGTTGCTGGACCGTTCGAGGCTAGCAGACATGTACCTTTATCGTTTGCGACCGCTACAAGGACATTTGTAGAGGTTCTGTTCGCTGTTTCCGCGTCGAGCCCGTCACAGTCACTAATTTTCCTTTTCTTCTGTCTCTTCTCTTGTTTCTTTTCGCGGGATTTTCTGGAACTCATGTCCAGCTCCTTCCCCTTCTTATTCTTCTTCTTTTTCTCCTTCTTCTTGCCCTCCTCCTCCTTGGCCGTGGCACAGCCTCCCTCTTGTGAGTCGCTATCCATGGGCTCCATCTTAAACATGCCATTTTCACTTTCATGGGAAGAGGTTTCCCGTGGGAAGTCAACGCGAAGATCCTGAGAAGCCGGGGAAGCCGTAGCATTATCCTTCTCCTGTACAAGAAGTCCGCCACTTATGAATCTGACAGTCTGCCACTTCGTTGCAGCATATCGAGCCAATTTAGCATCATCCCGCTTTTGCTGCTCCGCTTCAAGTTGTGTATCAGATTTACCATTGAGCCGGCCGAGTAATCCTTTGAATGCGTCCAGGCCAGTGGGTCCATCCAAAAGATTTCTCTTTGGCCGAGCTCCCAGGCCTAATGTGTCATCCTTCAAGACAACTCTTATATGTGATGCGCTAGCCGTAGTGAATAGATCAGAGTGAGTGGCATTTCGGGCGCCGAGGAAGCCACCGGGAGTCCAGCCCTGGGCTTTGAGAATCCTGTGTCCAAAACCATCCGTTGATCGTGACCAAGAGGTGTTGTTGGGATCATGCGAGATTTTGGTTTTCCTGCATATTTTGGTCAGTGACTTATCGCAGTGACATTATTTTGAAGATTTACTTGCGAGGCGCCGCCAGGCCCATTTGCGATAGGAGCGAAAAGAATTTTTGAGCGGAGATAGAGAAGAATGGAGATACAGTGTCGATGTGACGGAGACTTGAAGTCTAGACTAAGAAACTGCTTTTGGAGTATTACTCTGGGAAAATCAAAGGAAAATAAAACAAAACCGAGAGAGAGAGAGGATGGAAAGTAAGGCAGGAGTGCGGCAAGGGTATCTAAAACGAGTAACCGTTGTAAGCATCTTTTCCTTTTTTGACTTGATAGAGAGCGGAAAAAATATTTTCTCTGACGTGGTACCTCCGGTACCTGAGTCAGTTATTGAATTATGCTTATTTCCCTGGACACCCTTTGGATATATCTGATAGCTAGGTACCTATGTAACCCTAGGAACAAATAGAAAGCTCCATATCTAAGGTATACTTATGTATCTGTTATCTACGTAGTGATAATAATAATATTACAGTACTCCGTAGATAACACTACAACCATAATATAGGGTCCCCTTAAGTATGAGTCTCCTTAGGGCCTTGGCGATGGCCTAATTCTTCCAAAATCCTAATAACCTTCCATATTCATCACGAATAATAACACTCAACTTACAGAATATTATATTATTCCCAAATACTAATATTAACTCTTTTACCTGAATAAAAGTCAAGCATTATAATGTGCTGTTAATCACTTAAGTCACTGAGCCAGTCCCTCTGAAACTGGGTCTGAGCTGTGAGATTAATCCTTTCGGAAACCCTCTATACACTTCATATATACCGCCGTGAGAATCAAATCTGATATCTTGTTCGAAGAATGCCTGTTTTGCGAGTCTTCTGCAGAGACTACCCCCAGCGTACTCTGATTTTGGCCACTACTGACGACGCTTTGGTCTTTAAAGCCATCGCAGCAGAAGTGGACCACAGTACAGGAAAGAATGAACGAGACACTATCCATTGCTTGGTTGAATTTTGCAGTTTGTCTTGCGTGGACTTAACAGGTTACCGCTGTCTGTGCGATGGGCACGGTACGCTTGGGTTAATCGCTCTGGACGGAGATGTGTTCTTGTGTGTGGTGACTGGTGCCTCTAAGGCCGCAACAGTGAGGCCTGGCGAAGCTGTATGGCGAATCGACAATGTGCACTTTCGTAATAGCCCCCATTCCCTCGTTTATCTTAATTTTGTCTGACCAAAGCAGTTTGTCTCAATCATTCAAGCTATGAAGATGGTCTTAATTATGAGTCCGAGTCCGAGTTTGCAGCTGAAGAACCCAACCGGGGTGAAAATAAAGAAATCGTCACTGATCACCCATTCTTAGCGTTGAAGAAGCTCCTGAGCGATGGCAGTTTCTACTATAGTCTAGATTTCGATCTCACTGATCGGCTGCAGAACCGGTAAGCCGATAGAATGCCTAAACCATACATATACAATGGGTGCTGACATATTGTCAGCTCGGACAAAGCTGATGCGTTCGACATGGGCTCTTTAGATGAGGACATGCTGTGGAACTCATACATGATTAACCCTCTTCTTCTCCTCAGGAGCCACTTGTCTCGCCTTGAGAAACTGCACCTCGACACGTCTCGAATGTTGACATATGTAATACGAGGATTCTGTAGCACTTTGACCATTCCCACTTCCAGACCGATAGTTCCGCAAGCGCCAACGCGCTTGCCATCAACATTGACTGTTATATCACGCCAGTCATCTCGACGGGCAGGTACGAGATTCAATTCTAGGGGCATTGACGATGACGGAAACGTTGCGAATTTTGTGGAAACGGAAACTGTTCTCTGGATTCCTCCCGGCCTCACTTTCTCATACGTCCAGATTCGTGGTTCTGTGCCCGTTTTTTGGGAACAAGCACCTGGCTTCTTCCCTGGCCAGCAGAAGATTGAGGTGATCAGGTCGCGCGAGGCAACCAAACACGCCTTCGACAAACACTTCGAAAGTCTTGAATCACGATACGGCGCTGTACATATCGTTAATCTCCTGAGCGCTCTGAAACCCGGAGAAGTCGAGCTTTCAACGAGGTTTCAAGAATTGGTTAGCAGAAGCCCACTTAACCAGAAGGCTAACGCTCATGCCTCCAATCATATGTTACTTGAAATGACGGAGTTCGATTTTCATGCGGAGGCCCGCGGTCCGCTAGGTTATGGAGCTAGCGATCAAATCAAGGACGTTATTTTGCATTCTGTGGATGGTTTTGGATACTTCTTGTCAGAGAGCACTTGCTATGGTAACGAGGCAAAAGCCTCATCCGTCGTTCTACAACAAGAAGGCATTTTTCGGACAAATTGTCTAGATTGTCTTGACAGAACCAACCTTGTACAGACGATCATTAGCACGATGGCCCTTGAATCTTTCTTTCATCAACGGGGAGCTCACATTGATCCCGAACTTCGGCTCAGACACTCAACCCTTTGGGCCGACAACGGGGATGCTCTATCGCGAATCTACGCTGGTACTGGTGCGCTGAAAAGCTCGTTCACGCGACATGGAAGAATGTCTCTCGCTGGTGCCCTTGCAGATGCACGCAAAACCGCCACACGGCTATACGTGAACAACTTCTCCGACAAAGCTCGGCAAAGGACAATAGATTTACTACTAGGACGTCTAACAAACCAAGCCCCAGTACAGCTCTTCGATCCGATAAATGATATAGTCTCCGAGAAACTCGCTCAGCGAGCATCCGAGTATTCTTACAAGAAATCGATCATGATCTGGACGGGAACGTTTAACGTGAATGGACGCCATGAGGGCCCTGACAATGATTTAACACCCTGGCTCTTTCCTCTCCCCGATCAGGGGGGCGAAGATCCAAGCATCTTTGCCGTTGGTTTTCAAGAAATTGTTGCACTAAATCCACAACAAATCATGTCTACTGATCCCACTCCTCGCAAAGTGTGGGAAGCCGCTGTCAGAAATTGCCTCAACAATCGTGCTGAGAAGATGGGGAGTACAAAGTACGTTCTTTTGCGGAGTGGCCAGCTGGTTGGAGCAGCTCTTATGATATTTGTTAAAGAAGATATACTCGGAGACATAAAGAATGTTGAAGGCAGTGTCAGGAAAGTGAGTGTCCTGTGCAAGAAGTGTTGCTTCGTTATGAGTATCTAACGATTAAAAGACAGGTCTCTCGGGGATCAGCGGTAACAAAGGAGGCTGTGCTATCCGCTTTGAATATTCAAAGACTCGAATATGCTTTGTGACCGCTCACCTTGCAGCTGGATTCGCGAACTATGAAGAGAGAAACAATGACTATGAAACTATCTGTCGAGGTCTCAGGTTCCAGAAAAACAGAACGATTGATGATCATGACACTATCATCTGGCTTGGTGATTTCAACTACCGAATAGGTCTCAGTAATCAGACAGTCAGAGACTTGGCAACGCAACGCAACTACCAGAAGTTGCACGACAATGATCAGGTACTGTGATTCACTCAAAAGAAGGTCTATGCGCTAATTCAAGCCGAAGCTAAACCTGCAAATGATGGCGGGCAACGTGTTCCAATTCTACAGCGAGGGGCTCATTACATTTCCACCGACTTATAAATATGACGTTGGCACAAATTATTACGACACATCGTAAGATAATATGCTGTTTCTTCGACTCACTTCTTTATTTAACGAGAGACTAATACTCAGCAGCGAAAAGTCCCGCATCCCTGCATGGTGCGATAGAATTCTGTGGAAAGGATCAAATATACACCAGCTGCATTACGACTCTGCCTGTTTACAATGCTCAGATCATCGCCCCGTGTGGGCGCTTTTCTCCTGTGACATCAATTTTGTTGATGATCACCTAAGGGAAAATATCAGGAGCATAATATATGCGATGGAGACAGGGGATGCACCCGAAACACCGGCAAGGTCGAAGACCCAAGCAAAAATGCGTAAGCGAGAGTCAGCTGAACTGGACTTTCTTACACTTGACCTTCCACCAGCCAGTTCAGACGATCGGAGATGGTGGTTGGACAATGGTATGACTTCCCAAGTCTTGAATCGGTGCCCAGAAAATATCTTCGTGTCTGGCTACTCTAACACTCATACGTGGCAGGTATGCCGGTGAAATCAATTGTACAGCCGCCTTCAAATGGATGGTCATTGAACATGAATCGCGAGTCCAACCCATTTTCTTCAAGTAATGCCACTGATTGGGTACCTGCAAGAAGATTAACGGACAGTCAAAAGGCCGTGGTGGATAACATAGGTTCCATCACATACAAGCCTCCATTGCCCCCACGTATTGGGAAGGGAGGTGCGGATTCATCGGATTTGATTCATGACACTGACATGCGATCTTCCAGAGCAAATGGGGCGAAAAAAGCACCACCAATCCCTCGGAAACCTGTTGCTTTAAGCAACGATCATAAGGCCTTGTCTGGCCAAGCTGGATGGCAGTCCGGTATGAAAGCACTGGAGAGCGTTCCGTCGCAGCCAAGTAATCGACTTGGCGTTCCGAGGTTCGATTTGGACGACCAAATTAGAACTCCACCTGCTGAACGCAGGGTTCCAGGTAGTCAAGACTCTCTAAGCGTTGGATCCAGGCACTTTGGTGGCTTTGAGCGTCATACAGACATCACCAAGGACCTACTTGATGGTGAAGTAGATTCAGAAATCAAGTGGGAGCCTTTGTTACCAAATGATACATAGTTCATCCACCTTTCGTGATACCTACTATCGAGCTGTGCTTGTACGCACATACATTGGCCCTATGTTCTTATGCCCTTACTCACTTCTCTATTACTGACTGCCTGTCCTAACCCAGCATATATGACTTCTATATCAGTTCTAAAGGAGGAATTAAGCATCCTAGAACAGGAGCTATACACCGTTCCTTTGCTAGAAGCTTGCGATCACCATATAACCTGTTTTTATAACTGAAAAAGCTCGATGTCAATGGACTAGGAGTCAATTAAAGTATAGTCAGAAAACATTGAGAGTCATGCTCTATGGGTATATAAGAAACTCCAGTGCGCATAATCCAGCACATTTCCTCACTGATACAGACAGATATTATTTCAGAAACTTCCACCCCTGGCCAGGAAAAGTATGAAATGTCACCATAATCCAATGCTTGATCTTTACATAACTCAACATATGATGACAATACTCCCAACTCCAACCACCGAGGCATGAGAAACCAATCCCGAGCTTGTCGAGAGGAAAAGCCATGCCCCTCTAAAGCAGACCACGATAGGGCAAGCCTGTATCCCAGTATGTCGTTGGGCTGCCTGGCAGACGAGAACCTACCGAGCACAGATCCGGCAGAGAACGAGCCATGACTGCGATCCAAGCAGTGAGTCTTTTCCTTTAACAGTGACTGCATATGGCCAGAGATAGCTACCAGCTCACCGCCTAGGATACGACCCTATCACATAACACGGCAAGAGCTACCGTGATGTTGGAATGCTTTAGGCTTTTTTCCCGCTTTTAAAGCCTTGTTCAATCTCAAACGATTGCTACCCACCATCCACATGGCAAAAGCGCCGGGGTCGGGCCCCTTCGCACGTGGTTTCTTTATACCTAAGGTCGAATGCTAGGTTAATACTTGTAGAGAACAAATGCGCCATTGTAGCAAATTTGAGTTAACTGGTCCAGCATAAGGGGAGGAGAGGGGGGTTGGCGAGGGGGTGGGGGAAAGAAAAAGAACAAAAAAAGTAAAGTGGGGGGTTGCGGGGGGAAGGAAGGCCTCGACAAGACTACCACAGAGTTGATATGGAAAGAGATCTGAACATACCTGCTGCCGGCTCGGATTTTTTCTTCGAATCATCGGGGGCAACGATGACTGCGCTATCAGCAGATCCTGGAGCGGTTTCCGCAGTTGCTTGTCCTTCCGGTGCAGTACCCCCTTCTGCAGGATCAGGACTCTTCGGCTTCTCTGGTATGGGCCACATGTGCATGGTAATGGTCCAGTCCGGTTCAATGACGGTTTCCCAGACTTGTGGGAGAATGATGTCACCATTTGGCCCTACTAGATCATAATGACCTTCTGCAACATGAGGCCCTATTACTTCAATGTGGAGGAAAGCCTGTCGTATAAGTTCTTCCATTCCCTAGACTCATGGTTTTAGAAAAGAGCATTTGCGCGAGGCCAAGAGGGGATCATACCTGCCATGTGCAGCACAAATCAAAAGGAAAGCTGAACTTCCTCCCGACAGCATCTTTGAATTTGATAGGTTTCTTTTTTTCTGGGCCCTTGTTTGCTGCGGCTGTAGCGGCGGCAACAGCTTCTTCGGCCTCCTTCTTCAATTTTGCGGCCTCTTCAGCAGCCTTCTGTTCCGCCTCCGCTCTAGCGGCCGCAGCGGCCTCTTCGGCCTCCTTCTTCGCTTTTGCAGCCTCTTCAGCAGCCTTCTGTTCCGCCTCCGCTCTAGCGGCAGCGGCGGCTTCCTCGACGAGTTTCTTTTCATGCGCAGCACGCTCTTCTCGGGCAGCTTGCTCAGCGGCTTCCTTTTCAATTGCAGCTCGAAGCGCAGCCTCTCGCGCCTCTTTCGCTTCGCGTTCCGTCCTTTCTTCTAGGATCAGCTTCTCTAGTCTTGCAATTGCTTCATCCTTAGCAACTTCTGCAGCGGCAGGAACAGGAGATGGACTTGATTCCCCCTGACTGGGAGATGGTACGCGGGGGTAGGTGTTGAGGAAGGGCGGGGGGACCATTCCGGGCACCATGGGGTAGGGTTCTCTGAATGGGAAATAACCTCCCGGGCCGTATGGAATAAGTTCGTGAGGGCCTAATGGGTTTCCACCATAGTGTGATGGGCCATGTGGTGGAACTGCATGTGGTGTTGATTGCTGTGGTGGGCTATGCCCATCACTTCTCCCTTGGCTAGAAGGGTGTACTTGCGGCACATGGTGGCCAGGATGATGCTCGTGCATGAAGAATGCCGGCATTGGGGGCCCATGAGGATGTTGATATTGAGGGCCGTACCCATAGATAGGATGGCTGTAAGCTGCCGAATGACCCGTCTGATGGTGACTCAATCTAACAAGTTGATCCGATGGCGGATGAAGACCAGAATGCGCAAAAGCGCCGGGTGATATGCCGCTGTTCGGATACACATAGGATGGCCCCGGTGATGTGCTATGTGCGTAGTTTGAGCCTTGAGCCATGGGCGGCCAGAGCCTTCTCTCGTGGGATGTCCGTCCATACGGAGTCGCATATTCCTCAGCGGAATCCATACTCTCTGGGGAGTCGGGGGAAGGCTGACGGCGGGATCGGCGGACAAAAGACTCCCGTTCTGGCATAACATGACGTCTTGCAGAGTGACGGCGGCTCGGGCCTGATGATGAGCCATGGGTCGGATTACGGTTTCGCGTGCGAATGGACGCTCTGGGCCGGGACGCCGAATCAGATGGCTTCAGTTCGTCCGGATATGGTAAGTGAGCCCACTCATCATAAGGGTCATGATATTCATGGCTTCCGGACTCCGAGGGCGGAGAAACTTGAACTCCTGACGAGTCTTCCTCGTCAGATAGGGATGAGTCCGAGCCGCGTCGACTAGGGTCAATGGTAATATTGAACCTGCTTATGTATGTTTAGTTAGTCAAAACCATGCCAAGCCGTTCTTGGGTCGAGCCGTCAGAACGTACGTCATAGATATCAGTCAATAATGTTTGAGAAAGAATTGGATTGTAATAGATTTCAAGAAGTGATTATGAAAAAGTTATTCTTGAGTCGGTCCCGAGCGACATAAAGATGACCATCCAGAATAGCGAGCAGACTTGGGTCGAGGATACCCTTCGAAAATGTTCGGAGAAAGACAGAGTTAGTGAGCACATCCAACGAAAAGGAGATGCTGATAATTCATATCCAATTCACTGGTTCTTCAATCTCTGAAACAAAGTGGCACTCATTCTTGAAACGCAGTTTCCAGGTTTGGCAATAATACGCAGTCTAGCTGAAGCTTGGTGAAATGTAATGAGCAAACTCTTTCCGATCGAAGCTATGGCTCACATATGTATCTGATCAGTGGGAAAGGATAGAAGAATTTAAGCCAGTACAGTGGTTGGGGGATTAGCGATGACACCAGGAGAAGAGAACCCAAATGTGGGAAGGTGCCTGACCAGATATGTTTGAGGCGGAGTTTGGGCATTTTAGTATACCGAGGACGAAAAATTTACCTTTTTTCTTTTTTCCATTTTACTAGGTAGGGTAAGGTATGCTTTGATGCGCAGTCTCGTTAGGCACTGAGCTGGCAATTTTGATTCATACCCTCCCAGGCACCCTGCGAATACCTTGTGCTGCCTGAATGCCCAATTGAGGAATTTATTCTTACTAAAATGATAAATTCTGCCTTCAGGTTTCTAGATGGCCCACATACAAGCCTAGGCCTTCAGCCTCCCATGATTTAGCCAATAAATGGCCTTCAGGTCAGGAAAGAAACCTAAGGTACCTACCTCTCTTCTGTACAGAGGTACAAAAATGTATGTCTTCTCATGAAAAGGCTTCATAGTATGGGACAAATGTCCGAGGCATAATACATACGGGGATCGATATACGAATAGGAAGTCTCTGCACTGAATATCAATCCCAGACACTCTCATCAGAATTATCCTAGGTCTATAAAGGAGTTGTGGCAGGGAATACCTTTTTCTTTCACTTATCTACCTTAGGACCATGACGTAAGTGGGTCATGCCTATTTAAAGTTGATACTATGAGAGGTACAAAAAAATGATGTGCTCCCCTTAATCGGATTATAGGTACTGTGCTTCGATTAGCCCATGTATACTCGTCGTTCGATCATGTTTGAAAGACTGACATGTACTTCATCTAGCACTGCAAGGTCCTTGAATATTTATTAGAACGCTGCTTCAGATCCTGAGAGGATAAGCCATCGGCGTAATCAGATAAGTAATGAGAGAGTAGTTCCAGATCGAACACAAGAAGCACTCAATTATGAGGACAGATGATACAGGAAATTCAATGAATCAGTGATGGGGAATGGTTTAGTCGGATGCATTGAGACGATTGAGGAGCTCCTTCGCTGCGATGAGCTCGCCTTGGCTGTATTCAGAATGAATGCGCCCCTTGGACCGTTCTTTCACGATACCCTCGATCCTAGTTTTGGCAAAGGCAATCAGCTTCTCGAGCAGCACTACTGAGAGTGAATCGTCTGCTTGCGACAATGAAGAATCCTGCAAGTAAGTTCGATACCCTTCACCTTTGAGCAGGGTCGCAGAGGCCTTCGATATTTAGATTAGTTTTTATGATAAAAGCCGTGTTGTAGGGAGAACATGACGGCACTCACTGAAGCCAAGCCATAGAAACCCCTCAGATAATCATCGCAAAGTTCAATACTTCTGCTGAAAGAACGGATCGACCCGCGCAATAGGTGATATGATTGCTCTGGGTCGGAAGACCCAGCGACGAGGTATTGAAGCTCACCGAGACGAGCATGAATCTGATACGGAACAACGAAAGAATCGTTAGTCTCTCTACTGGTGGACGGTGATGTGCTCTGAAGTAGTTACATTCCACGCGTTTGGTGCAATCAATAATGCTTCCTCAAGGCAGAAGATTGCCTGGAGTCCCATTCCTTGAGACTTATATAGATCTGAGAGTTCACACCAAGCTTCCGCATCCGTAGGGGCAGCCTTCAGCAGATCTATTAGGCTGTGTATAGCATCTGTGTGCCGAGACAATGCACGCAGAAGCGCAACGCGTCGCTTTAGAACAGGCTATCAAATATGAATTAGCGGATAATTCTAGCTAATAAGACCATTACAGACCATGTTGGCCGGATTCTCCAGCAGTAAGGTGTCATATTTGCGTAAGCAGGATTCCAGGGAAGATCGATCCTCTGAAACGGCCTCTTCGTATATGCCGCGTAGCCCAAGGACCCTCTCATTTGAAGCCCCGAAGCGCCGTTCGAGCTGATTGAGACAGGATAGTGCTGATCTGTCATCTCCAGTCTGTAAACAAGCTAATAAGAGCTGTTCGATCTCCCTGTATTTCTCAAACTTCTCCGGCGAGATCAGCAACGTGGACTTCAGATTTGTCTCCGATGTAAGGCGTCGGCTGAGGATCAACGGTGCCTGCTGTGACAGATGAAGGCTAGAGAACAAATCCGAGCCATGAATAGCATGGAGTTCTGGAGCTGTACGACTCATTGTTTGGCAAACGTTGGTGTCAACCTGTATTATTCAGTTAAAATGGATGTCTGTCGGGGAAACCAAAGCAGGAACTGTATTTACGTGAATCTCACAGAAGTCAGGAGAAATTGTCTGTCTAGGGCGGATCTGTGCTTATCAAAGTGACACTATAGAGCTAAAATATGGGGTAATCTATACTAGCAATTATTATTAGACTATTTCAGATTCCCGTGACTTTAACCATCCATCATAGTAGTTTATCTTCACATACCCCACATGACAAAGACACCAGTGATATCAGAATCATGCCATATTTCGAGAATTAATTTGATATTTTTCTTAGATCTATATTCAGTCATCTGCCTTGGAAGCCACATGGCATATCTACCTGATCTCTTATGAGACAAAGAGTCGCAAATACCTTCATTCAGTCATTTGAAAATGTAGGGTCGATTGCTGAGCTGGTGTAACCTCCTACTGATTAGAAGTAACTAGGTTCGAGAAATCACTTTACGACCTGATCAAAGGCCTAAGGAATCATAAAGGGGCAGAAGATGAGTTTATACAGGAGAGTCTTCGAGAATGTAGGACTGAGATCAAATCTCAAGATATGGGTATGCATATCCGAACTTCGCGTTCGCTTTCAAAATACGGCAAGTAGCCCGCTAATATATTCCAGATAAAAAAGCTACTGCACTCTTGAAAATAGTTTATCTGGAGATGTTTGGGTATGATATGTCATGGGCATCCTTTCATGTCCTGGAAGTCATGTCATCTTCGAGATATCTGCAGAAGAGAGCTGGCTACCTTGGGGCAGTTCAAAGCTTTAGACCCGATACTGACGTATTGATGCTGGCAACGAATCTATTGAAGAAGGTCTTTGAAGTCCCAAGTTCCGTCTTAAGAAACTTCTCTGACGCTGGAATAGGATCTCATATCATCAAGTACTCCGAGCCTGTCCTTACCACTGACCACATTACCGCACATTATCACTCCTTCGCTTGCTATGTCATTGCTCCCTGACGTTCTATCTCGGCTTTCTCACTCGCGCGGGGTTGTGCGCAAAAAGGCAGTTGTGTGTCTCTACAGACTTGCTTTGGTTTATCCCGAGGCGCTCAAGTTTGCATGGCCGAAACTAAGGGAGCGCCTCATGGACGATGAAGAGGAAGGTAGTGTAACTACGGCCGTGATCAACGTCATATGTGAGCTTGGTTGGAGAAGGCCGCGTGATTTTCTTCCACTTGCCCCGAGGCTTTTTGAATTATTAGTCGATGGGGGGAATAATTGGATGGCTATCAAGATAATCAAGCTGGTATGGTGTTCCCTTTTCGCAGGATATACGCTTCTAACGAGACTAGTTTGCGACTTTGACACCCTTAGAACCTAGACTAATCCGGAAACTCTCTGGGCCTCTGATGAACATAATTGAAACGACGACCGCCATGTCACTGCTATATGAATGTATCAATGGCGTCATTCAAGGAGGCATACTCGATGGCGACGAAGCACTTGAGGAGAGGGATGAAGTCGCAAGTCTCTGTGTCGGAAAACTTCGAGGAATGATTGTCGCCAATTCCGATCCAAACCGTAAGTTTCTTTGTGAACAGTAAGTGTGAATACTAAAATAATTTGTAGTCAAATATGTCGCGTTACTGGCGTTCAACCGAATCCTGCTCTCACATCCTGCGTTAGTATCGGTCCACTGTGATGTCATCATGGATTGTTTGGAGGATGCCGATGTCTCGATACGAATTCAAGCCCTGGAGCTTGCAGCCAGGATGGTCACAAGCGAGACACTCCAGTCCGTCGTCGATCGGTTACTCAAGCAGCTTCAGGATGCTACGACGTTTGATCCTGTTGAGTCGAGACATTCCGCAGCAACAGAGAACTTGAACAATCAAAAAGGACCCATTACTTTGCCTGCGAGCTATAGAATCGAGGTGATACATCGGATACTTGACATATGCTCCTTCAACAACTATTCGGACTTGTACGACTTTGAATGGTATGTCGACCTTTTGGTAGAGTTGATGAAGCTCCGACCACGGCAAACTAAACGACTCCGTTTTCCGCGAGCTATTCGGGTGCTGGAAGACGATCGTGGAGACGATATAATGTCCCGGATCTGTTTGGAAATACGCAATGTCGCCGT